CCTCATACCCTTCTGCCAACATTAATACACCTCACTTCAAGAAAAGATGCCGTCATTATGCGCCAGTAGAGTGGCCTCACCCTTTGGGTTTGCTGGTAACCAAGGCATTTACGGCCTCGGCATACGCCTAGGATTTTACTTCCAATGAGTTGCATTCATAATTGCCTGTCTTTGTTCGAGAAGAGAGTGCGGGTGTTGCCATGACATATGCTGCCTTCTCCTTGTCCCTGACTATTGTAACATTGACTCTGTCATTTCAGTCACGATGCATGTTCGACGCTGAAGCTGCAACTATGACCTGGGAAAAACGAAATTAAGACAACAGCAAACAACGCTCACTCGGTCTTAGCGACTGGCTTCTTGACTCTTGGGACACGGACCCACCAGTACAACAAACAAGCTGCAAAGATATTAAAAACAATAAATACCCACATGAGCCCAAAATTCCTCCAGATTTCCGAGTAACTTGATGAAACACTACTAAGGAACACATTCGTCTCCTTGATCGGGCAGAAGCTGCAGTCAGAAGTCGCCATTTCATCTTCAAGATACCCACCCATATTCGAAATATATGAATCCATGTACTTGCCGCAAGTCCCATTGACTGGGTCAAAGCGCAGATACTCATTATCTGCACAGGTTGCGTTCGTATTCGATATGCCCACAGACAACATCCCGCTGACCAGGTACGTAAACGGCGAAACGCGATACATGAAGATCCAGAACCCTGGGAGCTGACCTGGTGTCGCCAGAACACCGCAGAAAATCAAACAAAGCAGGAAGAGCAGATTACCTAGGTTTCCAGCGTTCTCGGCGGCGTCGAACGCCGCGATCATAAAATGTGCAAAGGTGGACGAGAAGAGAAGGAAGGTCCAGACCATCAGCCACATTTGTGTGCCCCGCAAGCTCACCGCATCTGTTGGTTCGGCGTTGCGGTAAAGACCAATTGGGTAGTACCAGCACAGGAACATAAGGACGGACATGAGCGAGTTCCAGGGGAGTTCAACAACGATGTTGGAGATGATGAAGGCTTTCCAGGAGTAGGTCTTTGCGGGTCGTTCACGGACTTCGTATAGAGCGCGCTGGGCGACGAAATGCGGCATGATTTGTTGGATGAGTTGGCCGAAGACGGTAAGTAGCATGAAGATGCCGAACATTTGATTCTGGAGGCCTTGGATTGTGTTGGGTGTGTGGAAGAGCGAGAAGCCGACGAAGAGAGCGGACAGCACGCAGAGAGCGGTCTTGGAGTAGATGTAGGTGGGTGACCGCCAGATTTGCTGGAAGACGCGTACTTGGACCTCGCAGAGCTGGGCGCAGAAAGGAGCAGCGAATTCGCGGTAGCTGGCTTTGTCTTCGCGCTTTTGGCTGGATGTGGTGCGGAATAGGTTGGTTTGTTCGGGACGTTCGCGTTTGAGTTCAGCAAGGTGCTCTTGGACTCGTGCATATTCGGGGGATTTACGCCAGGTCTCGAACCAGTTGATGTTCGTGTGAGATCCAGGAGCGGCACCGATCACGTCGAGCATCCATTCGGCGGGATTGGCGGCTGGAGGACATGGAGGACCACCGTTGCGGACGAAGTAGTCGATCAGTATTTGCGAGTTCTCGCCGACTTCTCCAAAGTAGACGGTGCGACCACCAGCTTGAAGGAAGAGGAGACGATCAAAGCGCTGGAACAGCATGGCAGACGGTTGATGGATGGTACACACTGGGAACAGGTTAATGACAGCTATAAATGCACGATCAGACACTTACAAATAGCCTGGCCGTTCTTCTTCAGTTTATCAAGGAGATCAAGAATAGCCCAGGATGTCTGTGAATCAAGCCCTGAGGTCGGTTCGTCCAGGAAAAGGCTGTGCACGCAAGGCAACACGCCTATCCCACAACGGGACAGACGCAATACACTTAGTCAGTAATTTGCCTGAGGCCGCAGTAATATCCCTGAGGTCACAACTTACAGAAGTTGGGGTCTGGCCGCAAGCTCTACCCCGATTGTGAGACGTTTACGTTGCTCAACATTGAGGCCTTCACCAGGCACACCAATAACAGCATCAGCATACTCAGTCATGTCAAGAAGCTTAATCACTTCTGTCACGTAGTCAATCTTCTCTTGACGAGGAACGTGAGCGGACTGGCGTAGGAGAGCAGAGAACTCAAGTGCCTCGCGCACTGTAGCAGTACTCAAATGCAGATCTTGTTGCTGGGCATAGCCGGTCTTACGTTGAAAGGAGTCATCCCGCGGTTGACCATCGACGAGAATTTCTCCGCTGATAATCCCCACAGAGGTGCGCGTAGCTAGGACATCCAAGAGCGTGGTCTTTCCAGCACCAGAAACACCCATAAGCGCCGTCAAGGTTCCCGGTTTGACCCATCCGTCAACGTGGTCAAGAATCCTGCGATTCTCCTTTCCAATCTTAATATCAAAGCAGACATCCTTCCACTGGAAGATCGCGGTCTGGCGTTCAATCATGGTAAGGCCATCTGAGCCAGTCTTCTCCACCGTGACGCTGCGGCCACTACCTTCTTCAAGATCCTCATCTGACTTGCCTTTCTTCAGAGCTTCGTGTCCGCGAGGAAAAACTAGGATCTCGCCCTTCGACTTCTTCTCAGTGATGAAGTCAGTAGCAACGAGATAGACGGCCGCAAGCAGGAACATGTAGGCGAATATGACACCGATGTTTCTCCATTTGTGCGAGGCGGTATAGATATATGCTGACTCAATGTAGGCGTCGCCATTGACAAAGGCTTGTCCAGGCACTGATCCGACTGTGGAGCAAACACGGTTGTTAAGCCCGAGATCCGTATAGCCAGGACCAGATGGGACATAGTTCATGCACGGGAAGTCGCGGTTGTGGAACTCATTAATCAGGAGTGACTCAAAGCCATAGCTGATTGGATTGATGTAAGCAATCCAGCGAGCCCATCCAAGCATATACCCAGTTGGGATAGTGAACCCAGTATACATGCTGAGACCGAGAAGTAGAACGGCGGAGAAGGGCAGAGCTTGGACAAGGGATCTTGACAGCGATGCCATAGACCGGAAGAACATGGACATAGTGAGAGTGAGGACGAACGAGGTGAAGACAAAGAAGAAGAAAGCACCGGGTTCTCTCCTTAAATTGGTCATGAAGTACAGAACTATGTTAGATGTAATGGCGTTGATGATCTTGTAAGGCAAATCCATTATCATTGATGAAAACGCTTCAGCAGATGGGTGATAGAGAGCGTATCGGGAGTGCTTCTCTATTATCCCTCGTTGTGCGTATAGAGTCAGCATTTCAAGGCCGCAACCAAGGGCGTTCATAAGAACAGCAAAGAAGAGAAGAGCACCGCGCTGAAAAAAGGTACTGGTGTCAGCCTTGAGGTTGTAGAATATACTGGCGATAACAAGAGATATGATAGTATTTCCGAATACAGAAGAGATTGTGACGCTGGGGTCAGCCTTCAATCGTTGATACCCGCGCCACAGGCACAGTTCCACCTGTTGAACGTAGGAAAGAGTGTAGGGTGATGATACACGCTGAGCCTTGGCTTGCTGAGCTCGCCGAGATTGCTTTAACTTATCCAGGTATTCACCATCCAGTGCGAACTTTGCATTATAGCACTTGATGTCTTGTAGAAGCTGTGCTCGCTGTGGCGAGGCCCTCCATCGTGCAGCGAACTCATCAGGTGTTCGAGGTACGCGGCCTTCATAACCTGGCTGAACAACACGCTCAAGGTGGCTAGTCATAGAGGTGAGAAAGTCGGCATCAGTTTGTCGATCAGGGCAAACGAAGCCCATATCAAGGAAGTACTGCTTCGCCATGGATGTGCGACCAAAGTAGATCTCGCGACCTTCGTATAGAACCAGGGCCTTATCGAAATAGTCGTAAGCGGCCTGAGGAGCTTGGTATAGAGAGACACAGGCTGTGGTGCCATTGATATCTGCCTGCATGCGTAACGTTTTGCAGAACTCAATGGCATTCGCACTATCAAGGCCGCGAGTTGAATTGTCCCAACATTGCAGCGGTGCATTGCTGAGGCAAGCTTCAGCGATGCTAACCCGCTTGCGCTCTCCACCAGACACGCCGCGAATGAAGTCGTTTCCTACAATCGTGTTCTTCGTATGGCTAATACCAAACATGGCCATGATCACGTCTCGCATGTGGCTGGCATACTGGGTCGCATTCACCCCCCCAGGAATGTGTCGTGGTGCTCGGGCGCGCGCAGCGAAATAAAGGGTATCTCCAACAGTGAGCTTGGGGAAGTGGACATCGACCTCCGCGGTGTAGATGGCTTCGCCTCTGAACTCATGGGCCATTTGTTTTGCGCTCACGCCTGACGGGAATTAGTAAAGAATCCTGCTCTTGAGTCAAATCAGACATGCCTTGGAAATTGATGTTTGAGTTTTTATCCACATGAAATCCGTAAGTCTCTCCAGCAATGGTCTTCAAAAAAGTCGAGCATCCGGATCCAGGGGGTCCAAGTACCACCAGCATCTCTCCAGCCTCCACCAATCCTTCCATGTTCTGCAAAATCTCGATTTTGCGCTGCTTTTGACCGAATGCTTTGCTTACCAGGCTGAGCACCTCTAGCCAGACATTGCCGACGCTTTTCTGGTAATCAGTGTCGGAACCGAAACCATGCACATTGAGATTGCTGAAGGCGACCCCCAAGGTTCGCAGTGGATGTGCCTGCTTGTCCCCGGTGTGCATCTGCAGCATGGCCTTGCACCATGCCCGAGCATTGAAGTGTTCACCATTGGGGTCCAGCGCCGATCCTGCCTCCACAGCGAAGGGGTTCTGTCCTGCCGCGGAATAGTTGCTCTGATCTGTGAACTGTCTGGCCAGCTGATGAACCTCCGCTTCCCTGGAGGAGTTTCCAGCCTCATGGTCTTCATTCATGTTTGCACGAGTTCTGGTTTACCGAGTTCGCCAATGGGTATCACGAATGTATCAAACTATACTTATAGGAAGTTCAGAGAGCAGAAAATTGGCCACACTAGATACAGCAACAACCCCATTTTATTCGCCGTTCCTGGCTTCATGGATGACGCGATCCACGTTACTATTGTCGGTTCGGCCCGCCAAAGTCAAAATGGCTCTCATCAGCCAAATCAGCCACATATCGATGGCTAACGTCAGCCAGATCTTCGGGCCGCAATCCACCCCGTATCTGTGTCCAACCACCAGTCCTGGTAGTTGCGTGCTGCGGAGATTGCCGTTGTACGTAGTACACGTCTTCTCCCGCGAAGTGTAAAAATCACCAACGAAAGTGCAGCTGGCTTCACGGGTACGGACCACAAGTTCTCTCTGTTCCATTTAGGATTCCGTCTCTAGTGGCCTGAGATGCAAAAAAAGATAGTTAAACAACTTGTAAAGTCTCGAGTAACTGTGTCATTATAGCAGCTGTGCTACCTTATCAGCTGGGCTGCTATCAGAGCCCTATTTCAATTGGTTCGGCTGAGCGCGTTCCTCTTACATCAAATCGATTGCCATAATAGAATCTAGTGTATAACCGAATCTAGAGAATGCTGACATTTTCTTCAAGTTCACAAACGCTTCTTTCAGCTCGCGCCAAGCTCGCCTTCTGCATCTCCCCCAGAACATCACCACCCACCTTCTTCATATCCGCCAACAACTCCGTCACCGCCCTCAATTGAAGCAAAATCAGAACGCGCACTAAATACTCCCATTCCAGCCGCGAACTGACCTCGTAGTCACCCAAACGGAGTTCTCGCCAATCCGAGAATGTGCTCCTAGACACTGGCCTAAGTGAGCCGGATGAACGGGAAGAGGTGGATGTGTCGAGATCCCAATCCTCAAGAAGGCGATCATAGCCCCGCAACGACGATGGTCCTGGAGCAGCCTGGGTGCAGGGTGTGCCATCTTTGGCGCTATACAGCACAACGATTTGCCCACAGACCGCGACGATTTTCTCCGTGATAAAGACCAGCAGGACGAAATTCTCCCTCTTGCTTGTACAGCTGGTGCAGTTGACCATCGAACGGCAGCACTTGATGGCTCTTTTCTGGTATGCGATTATAGAGTCGAGTTCGGCTCGGTTCTCGGTGTTGCAGTTGGTCTCGAATTCTTCAACGGCAAAAACGACTGAAGCCAGGCACTGACACGACTGTGTAGGTGGGTTCTGAGGTAAGTATAGGGCGGAGGTATGTAGGGATGTGGAAGTAGCCGTAGTGCCGATCTCAAAGACAGGCAAATCTAGGGACATTATAGTAGATGAGAGGTCATCTGGCAGCTCGCCTCCTGAGTTTAGTGATTGTGATAGACGATTTCCAGACATGGAGAACAACGGAAACGGCGAGAGAGTAAGGTCCGAGGGACAATCCCCATCTTGATCGCTTGTTTGCTGACTCAATCTCGCAAGAAAAGACTGGTCAAAGTTTGCTAAAATGTCTGTTGAAAGTTCTGGAAGCAGGTTCTGTCCTTGTCCTAGCCCACTATCATATCTGCCGTCCGGTGGGAGTGAAGACCGCTGGTTTGCGCACATCTGTTCCTGACTGGTGTCATCAGTGGCCAAAGAAGCTGATGGCTGGATCAAGAAGTCAAGCTGGCACTCGTGCTCTGAGAGATTGGCGCTTTCCTTGCGTGTCCTTTGATTGCCTCCTTGTTTCAAGGAACTGAATGTACACAACTTTTCAAGCCTCTTGCATCGGTAGCAACCGCCTTTAACCGTACGACATTTGACCTGCATATGTGGCCAGATCAGTCAACATGTCTGGGCTTTAACATTTCTGATCGCAGATTTTACTTTTTTGGCCCTGCATCGATCGCAGGCTGCATTCCTTTGTAGATTTGACGATCCATGCGGCCCCTCGATAAACTCGGCCTCTTTGTGACCGGAATTCCAATGCAGAGTCCCGAACATCAGGAGAGTATTGGTTGAGTAGTCTAGTTACTGGGGCTATTATGCTAAGACTGTTGCTACAGCCTGGGGTCTTTACCAGCTATAATATTGCTTGCTCTTTGATCAGGCGCCCAGTCTGTGCTGGCAGAAAGGTCGTATAATGCTGAGTCGATGACCCACCTGGGTTAATTTACTTGGCGTCACCTGTATTGATCATAGACATTACTACCAATAATCTAACATCTCCAACGCTGTAGAGTTGTGCCCTACAGAATGATTCCTATTACCTGGTAGGTATGATTTGACATGGAGGTTTTACTGTCTAAGCTAGTTGTTCAGCCGTAGTGGACTATGGCTCTGTTACCAAGACCTTAAAGTGATGCGTTTCACCTTTGCCAATGCAGATTGCTGTGCCGCAAACCCACGCGGGTATATGGGGTGTGGTCTCTTAGATAAACCCAATGAGGTGAGTTTCTGCTTACCACGTAGCAGACAACCATTACTTGTCAGTCTGATGCCGAGGATATTCTTGAAATGCACAACCGGATAAGATGGGAGCAAGGACGAATAGCTGGAGTACAGCACCACAGAGAAGCTGGCTGTTGCTGTGCTGGAAGTGTAGAGGGCTGTTAGGCGACCTACCGGATGGATTGGTTGGGAAATCTTGTTTCCCGCTGCAGTCATTACTATTAGATACTTTTGTGCTGTAATATATGACTCCAGGATCTATTCCAAATGTAAGCAGGGCTTTCGTAATAGATTATACCATGTATGCTGCTACTTATGTACTTATCATCAGTATCCGTTCCTGCGAGTCAGGTGGGATGCCTGGTCGACTAACTACTATAGGGATCTACTTATTTGGTCGTGTTAGGGGGCCTTTGACCCTGCAGGGATCTACTGTCGCAATCCTATCTCTTACTCATGTATGGTTTTCCAGAACAGCTGGTTTTGACATTGCATGGTCTACGTAGTAGGCTTGATGTAGCCTATCTCTTGCATTAGCTTGATGTACTTTCTCGTCGGTGTCCACTCCCAAATTGTTTTCATTTAACATAATCAAGGGATCAATGGCAGTACTGCTAATACCACCAAATCACCACCTCAATGCGGAAATCATTTTTGCTTCTAGGGAGCTGTTTCTTTTTTTTTTCCCGCCTCCCCAGTCACCAGCATTATCAAAAATGTTGTTACCTAGAGAGAATTAAATGCATATAGGTATATACTACAAACCCTTGTTATAACAAGCCTTGATATAACAAGATGCTAATATATGGAGATCCATCACTAAAACATGACTTGTTAATTTTCCAACGCTGCGAAAACTGGTTATATATTTATATCAAGGGCACAAAACTAAAAATGCCATACAGGATAGAGTCGCTTGACCAAACGACAGAAATGAGAACTAGCCTGCATCGGATATCACGGGCTAGAAGCCGATTCAACCTGTTCCATAGGTTTGGACAGTTTGGACAGTAAGAACTCGCTTAGGAACCTCTAACAAAGGCCGCGGCTCCCGAACAGAATTTTGATAACCAACAAGCTATCTTCATATTGCCACTCCCTTTCAGGCCCAAAAAACTCTACAGAACCGTCTCGTCTACCCGAATAAAAAGTTATAGTCCATAAAGTAGGCTCACAACCCCTCAATCACCTGCGGCACCACAATCTCCTCCGAGTACGTCCAAAGCAAACTACTGTCCTCTCCCTTCCACGCGGCTCCAGTCCAGTGAGTATTTCTTTGGCCCTGCAGCGTATACAGCTTGTCATAGAACCCATCTCTGATATCCTCTGCACGCACCTGCAGGTTATACGGGGCATGCGAAGCGAATGTCACGAATTCCGGCTCGGTTGAGGTAAACTTGTCCGGGTTCTGTTTCTGGATTCGCTTGATGGTATTGATAATGTCTGCCTTCACGGCCTCATCGGACAGAGGCAAAGACTTGGTGGTCTGGCCCGTAGCATAGGTGACCAACTGCAGACCGGGAACTGCTGAGGGCGCGAAGCTGTACGCGGCCGGTAGATATGGGAAGGTGAAATCGGTGTGGCCCTGGGCTGCGTTGGAGATGCTGGTGTTGTTGGGCAAGCCTGAATTTTTGACAAGACCGACGTAGTAGCCTGCGTCGATATACTTGCCGAAGAGGCTTTTCTCGGTGGCGCTGAGGTCGAACGGGGCCAGGAAGTCGAGCTTCGGCGGGAAGGCGATAAGCAGCTTCTTGGCTAGGATGAGCTTGCGGCCGGCTGGGGTGCGGACGATGAGCATAACACCTGACTCGCCATCGGCGCGGAGGGCGTGAACCACTTCTGAGGAAAGGAGAAGGCTGGAGGACTGAAACAGCTCTGCTTCGGCTCTGGTGTAAAGTTCGCTGACGTTGCGGCGGACGGGACCAAGAAAGCCGGTGGCGACAGACCTGACCATATCTGACGACCAGTATCGGAATTGTTCGATTACCGGGTTTGACAAGATATCGCCGACACCCGGGTTGAAGTAGTACATGGAAGGGATGGCCGCTTGGATTCCGTACTTCTCCACGAATTTTCCGAACGGCATGTACAGTTCCTCGGGCACGGGGCTTGGAAGGATTGTCCCATTTCTCAGACCGGGGTATTTAGAGTACTGTGCCAGGTAGGCTGCGAAGGCTGCGGACACCTCCTCTGCCTGTGGAGTGAACGTTGGAGTGACTGCTCTTCCGGTGCGGAAATCGAAGTAGAACTCGGATTTCATGAAGTCATCCGCCCTGTTCAAGGGGATGTCAAATCGTTTGAAATAGTCCTTGACCACGGTGATGTTATGGAAGACCAGGACTCCCATGTCTACCGGAGTGCCGGTTGCGGGATCAATGTAGGTCTCAGCGTGGCCACCTAGTCTGCCTTTCTTTTCGATGAGAATGACTGATTTGCCTTTGTCCTTCAGACTAATGGCAGAGTATGTGCCTGCCGAGCCGCCGCCGATGACAGCAACATCTCGTTTGATAATGTCAGCCGATTTGAAGTTCGCGACATCAAAATTTGAAGGTGGAGCTGACGCAACGGCGGTCGAGGACGCCAGGAGACAGGCGAAGAGCGAGCCAAAGGAGAGATGCATGGCTTGGATGGTGTGATCAAGGGGGGGAGTTTGAAACTGATACTGGATTGCTGTTGGACAACCTCAGAGTGGGCAACCCATTGCCTTTTAAACGTTGAGCCAGGACAATGATGAAATGAGGACGATGATGGAACATGGTAATGCCGCTGCTCAGAGTCGCTTAGTCGGGGTTGAATTTCTAATGGGGAAGGCCGAATGTGGTAACACCGATCTTGTCGGCCTGATATTAGACAGAATGCCCCAAAATTCGGCCAGGGGTAGCGGCCATCCCTGCCAATAACGCCAGCGCCTACTGGGTAATATTTATTGAAGTTCTGTATTCGGCATTATGAGGGTGAGCAAGAAGATTGCCCCCTAGCTGCTACCTGGTTATAATCTCAGTTAGGGTCTCTTTCAATCGCGATACTCTGACTGTATACCTTTGATAATAAATGGAACTTGACGTCGACTTGCTAGATAACGTGGACTGGGAGTCTGTCTCTAAGCAAGTAATAAATCTCTCCGAAATCCCAAGGCGAATTTCCCTAGAGCGTAGAAAATGTCACGGGAAGCATGCAAGACATGGATGACGGAAGGCGCAATAGTGTGTAGTTAACGATGTATATTGTAAGGATAGAAGGAACGCGGAGGATCCGAACATCAGCAATGAGGTCGCATGCAGGCTACATGCTCGCCTAGCCACATGGTGATGCAATATAGTCACAACGATATACTTGAATTTTATGTTTCTTGTGTTCTTTTTCAACAGCTGTCGATGCAATCTGACGGACAACCTGGCCAGTTACCAGAACGAGCGCAGTCGCGCGCAGTCGTCCGCCGTAGACAAACATTCTAGGCCGACCACATCTTTCGAGTCGTCTTGCTCCGAACTTTCCCCATCGGCTATCCCACCCAACCTACCTCATCCATCCGCTCATCTACTTTAAGGACCCACACGACAAACCGATTTACACGATGCCACGAGACACGACGGAGGAGAAAGCACCGAGCGGAAGCATGGGAAAGGAGAAGCGAAAACCCGTTCGTCGCGACCCTGAAAAAAGGCGGCAACAGAACATCCGAGCGCAACGTAGATACCGTGAGTGCGGCTTGGTTTCTCCAAAAGATAAATCGGGGAAGATCTGTGGAGGGGAAGAGATTACTGATAGAGTGTTTTTTTTCTAGGAGAGAAGCTCCGTGAGCGATTGGAGAACCTCGAAACGGTTGCAGCATCACTGGCGCAGAGACCCCCGATGACGGGCAAAATCCAGTCCGAGTCGATCCTAGGTGATGATGT